CCCTCATTAAACACCTATTCAAGCAAATCGACCCCCAACTTAAGATTTTCACCAATTTTTATCTCGTTAATCTAAGACAATTCACACAAAGATAAGTAATTTAGTACAATAGCAAAATCATCTCCGTATCTTCCTATAATAGCAAAATTATCTCCGAACTGTGCTAAATTTGGTCTAAAGATAAGTAATTCAGTATACTTTAGGTAAAACATTTATGTCCAACTATATCAACCTATCAATTATATGAATGAACTCATAGCATCACAATGTCCAACGTAATTCTAGTGCACATATAATATCAGTTTGACAAGATTAAGTCTCAATCAGTTTAGCAATGCATCATATCCACAGTTCATAAATCAACATTAAATCTCAAATTTAATCATCGATGCTGACCAGATTATTTAACCCACACAAGTACACAACCTAAAACAAGAAAATATATATTTTTGTTGAAATTTTTCAATTTTTTTGTTTTTTCAATTATATATTAAAACAATAAGAAGAACAAACATCAAAAACATACGAAAAGTAAAAACTCAAAATTTTTCTCACCCTAAACTTAAAATCGACATTGTCCTCAATGTCTTAAAGTATAAGAAAGCATATAAGGGGACGGGGAAGAAAGAAAAGAAGGTACTCCCTAAATTTTTTTCTATTGAATGTGTAAGGCACTATGATGACGGCTAAACAGTCTTTTTCATCATGCTTTTCTCTTGTCTATATTGGTTTGAGTGTTCCACGACGTCATATTCCTGCACATAGTGGTCAAATCAAACATTAAAGATCAAATAACCTAAAGCATGTGTTACTTAATCCAAACAATCGAAATAACCAACAATAATTTCAAGGGCCCTAGGGGAAACGTGATAGGATGATGTACCCTATAAATTGAAACGTGCTTAAGTCTGATGCAAACTAATAATCAAAATAAATTTATATACAATGCGGTACAGAAAGCAAAATAAATAAAATGGTTAAGAAATTGAGTTACCTCCCAACAAGCGCTTTTTTTATAGTCTTTAGCTCGACTTTGGCAATTGAATCACGGGCACCTAAAAAACACGTTGGATGCCTTGCCCATTTTTCTTCGTTTGTATTTGATTCACTTTTCATTTAATCTCCAAACTTCTACCTTACCATTTTCGATGTAATATGACTTTTCTATTTAATCCGATTCAATTTCAACTATGTAGACTTCCACTCCCATATCGGGCTTAATTTCAAAATCAATTTTTGGATAATAAATAAAGTCGGAAAAATGTGAGTTGATTTCATTCTTATTGATTGCCACATCTTCATTTAATTCCATTGTGATCAACTCGTCGTTCTCTTTAATCCCTTATTCCATAGTCGATATATCTTCGGGTTGAATGATTGGTCCACAATCTAGATCCATAGACAATGAGAAGTTGATTATGTTGACTCCTTCAAATTAATTGTACCCTCATTGTTGAAATCATTCCCAGTACATTCAATCTCCCATAAGCATATCGTTTTCATCCAACTTGGCAAGTTCTTTAAAGTACTTTGCAAGTACTTTCTTGTTCAATATGGGAGGACCATCTCCACAAGTTTGATGTCCTCATCCCAATCGTCATGTACAAAATCTTCAGCATGTACTCTTCATTAGATTTTTCAATTGCTTGTTTTCTACACATCAAATATTTTTGAAATCTCAGAAGTTTCGGCATGTGTAAGCTAGTGTATGAGAACAAGCATTTCCCAATACAATGCACCGCGTAACAATTTTCACAACTTGAATATCCTCCAAGCATACCTTGACAATTCATGTAGAGATTTGTCATTGAAACAATTTTGTTACTTTACCAATGTCAGGATCATGCATAAATTTCTGAAAAGTACAAGGAGAGAATACCAACACAAGATAGATTAAAACTGTAGGGGGTTAGTTAAACGATATAAAAAGAAAAAAAAAATTAAATAACCAAAAAAATTGTTAGAACTAAAATTAATTAAAGTAGTAATCAAATTAAAAATAAATAAGCAATAAAAATTCAAATTAAAGTTAAAATTAATGAAACACAATAGTCTCCGGCAAAGGCGCAAAAAACTTGATTTTTTGAAAACCCGCAAGTGAACGGAATCATGAACAAGTAATAAAGTGAATAGAGTGTCGAACCCACAAGGACTAAATATTCAATCGAGTTCAAATTAATAGTAATATTAATCTAATAAAAAATAGATTTTGAATTTTCTATACTAATATCTAAATTATCTATTAAAATAGAAAGTGAGTAAATGTGTTTTTCAAATATGTGAGATGCATTGCTAAGATGTCGAATCCCCCTTATTATTCCATTTTTAGTGTAATAATTAAATTGACAATTTGAAATCATTTATGTTAGTTAATGTTCCTAATTTAATTGAAATCCTCTCTTGATAACGATCAAATATATTCCCTTCATGTGACATTTCTATCTCTCGATGAAAAAAACAAACATAATAAATGCATTAACAAGTACTAGAACACCTATTGAAATCATATAAAGCATATAGGTATATCTCTATCTTCTATCGAAGCTTACCATTTTATTATAATGTGCTTAAACCCTATTGTCTCTCTCGATAACAATAAAATTCACTAACAATTGAATTGACGATCAAACAATTGAAAATAACGATAAAACAATAATAAACATCCACAAATCAATCGAATCAAATTAAATTAAAGTCAAAATAATTAATTAAAAACTAAAAATTAATATCATAAGAAGGGTTCACCTCATCCTAACAATGTATAAATTTAGCCTAACATATTGAAATTATAAGATATCATATTTAAGTGAAAAAACATCACTCAAATTTTTGATAAATTGAGAAGATGAAGATGAATCTTGAAATCTTAAATCTCCTCAATGGTTTCTTGATGAATCTCCACTTGTGCATTCTCTTCTTTGCCCAAAAATCAGGTTTGAATATTCAATTGATTGAATTCCTGCAAATTTTCTTTAGTTCTCTCACAAAAATTACGAATTCTCTTCCTTTGATGATAATAATTGATGAATATTGGAGTACAATATGTATATGAGAGGTCTTCCATATGTATTCTTCTATTCTGTATTTGTAGTAATCGAAAATTGGTTGAAAATCACGTCCAAATTAGTTTTCAAAAGAGTTCTAATCGAATAAAGAAAGTTTCATTCGTGCGCGGATTTTTTGTCTCCACACAACAATCAATAAGCTGGCCATAACTTTCTTTCCTGACATTCGATTGAAGCGATTCAAAGTGAGTTAGAAAGCTAGCTCAAAGAGCTACAAATTTTCTTGAAACGGAATTTTTCCAATTCGGACTTTGACTATGACAAAAATGGATCCCAATCCTCAACTAAAAATTTGGAATATAACTTGTGTGATTGAAAATTGATTTTAATCATATTCCATTCCTTTTTGAATTCTAATTCAATCCAATTGTCTCCTAACAATCTTCAAAGTATCAGTTTGTGGTCCAAATTAACTATTGAATTCGGAATTTGATTCTCAAACTTTGGATTTTGTTATTTTCACCATTTTTCGCTTCTTTCTTTTGATTTCCTGTCGAACAACTGATTTTACATATATAACATAAAATACAACAATTTATGATATATTTTGTCTACCAAATATCGATATTTTAGGACCTCAAATAAATGTATAAAATACACTTATCAGTCCCTCTTGTTAATGATTCCTTTTCCATTTTTTAAATTTTAAAAAAAAAAAAATCAGATTTTTTGAGTGTGCCACTGACCACCCTTGCCCGTGCCTGTGCCCCGAGAATTAAATGAACGGAAAACGAAACATACCAACACTTAGCAGCCAGCCATTATGGCGCTCACCACCTCCAAACTTCCACTATATAACACCCAAAATCATTAGGAAGGTAGGCAGCCAATATGGCGCTCACCACCTCCAAACGCCTCCACTTATCAGCGGCGGTCATACTAACATACGCCGTATGTGTACTCTCCCTAAAGGGTTGCCCCAGTTGCGGATCCACCCCAGTTCCCTATCCTCTTAGCACCGCTCCAGACTGCGGTGACCAGTCGTATAAAATCCGGTGCAACGCCACCTCCCTTTTCTTCGACTCCCTCAATAACACTTACCCAATCACTTCCATTTCCCCCTCCAATCAACGCCTCACCATTGAACCCTCACCTTTCCTCGCGAACACCTGCATCACAACCTCCCACGGCTTCCAACTCAACTCCTCCGCCCCATTCAACATCACCAGCAGTAACACCGTCTTCTACCTCAACTGCTCCACCCAGGTCTTGATGTTCCCCTTAAACTGCACCTCCAACAGCCTCTGTCACGTGTACATCAACGGCACGGCCGGGAGTGGCTGCGTAGATACGCAGGCATGTTGTGCGTTGCAGACGGGGGACTCGGTGACTAAGTACAAGTTAGGGTTCAATGGGGATGTTTGCTCGGCGTACCGGAGCTTCGTGAATTTGGATTACAGTTTACCGGTGAGCAGATGGCCGGCGCCTGGAGTGGAGTTGGAGTGGCTTTTGCCCAGAGAGCCCACTTGTGAGGAACTAGGCGATTGCGATTCGGGATCCACTTGTAGTCCCGATCCGAACTCGAATGGTTTGATCAAAAGATGCTTTTGCAACTCCGGGTTGCAATGGGACTCGGTTGTTGGACAGTGTATTGAAGGTGAGTTCTCTCAACTTTGCCATTCATTTGCTTTGCTTTTCTAGTTTCTGGTTAAAATAAATTGAAGTACAAGTTACGAGGGGACTTGGACTAAACTCCAGTAAAATAAACTTAAGACGAGTCATAAAATCATTATATATAAAACTCGATTTCGTGCTTGCTGCATTACATTTCGCTATGTATTTCCGAATTTTTCCATTGTTTACATTAACAATCTAAGCTTTATTTGTACTAAATTTGGAGTTGGCAGCACAAATCCTTGTTTGTACAGAACTTTTCTTGGGATTTTTTTTTCACTCTAGTCTTGCAAATGTCTTCTGATTAGCTCGGTTAAATCTAATATGCAGTGCCAGATGGCCGTGATAAAGTTCGAATCGCCCTTATAACAGGTACCTCGTCAATCATACTATTAGATGGCTATGATTTTTTATTAGTTTGAAGATTCTTTGAACGAGGTTTCCCCACCATATATATCATCTTTTAATTTTTCTTTTGTTTGGTTGACTATAAATGAGATTTGTTATAAAACTGAAGTCCTTAATTGGTGGTCTTATAATGTTATTTTGACCTTGCCATGACTCTTGCAAAGTAAGGAGAGAGAATACATATTTATGTTTCAGAAAAGACGAAAGTTAATTATCCAAGACTTTAATAGTTTTAATAAACTGAGAGTTGAGAAAATAAATGAAGAGAAGAAGATTGCAGAGGAATTGCTCTTCATATTGATGTATTTGCTTAGCCTTTTACAATGCACATGACTCCCTATTTATAGTATTTACATGCATGAATAAAGGGATCTGATTCTCTAACTAATTGTACAGAAAATCCCTAATAGAATGACAGCTCATATATTCTAGAATCATCCTTGTTTTGTTGCTGGCACTTTGCTGAGCTGTGGGAAATCATGGCTAGGATGAAATGTTGTGATGGCAGTTGTTGTGTAGGTTCTAACATCCCCCCGGAAGATGGAGAGTGGATGTCAATGACTCCCATCTTGAGCAAGAAACAATAAAACAAAGGAGAATGAAGTGCTTTGGTGAGAATGTCAGCCAGTTGGGAGTGTGATGGTGTGTATGCAGTGGAGATCAGACCCTCTTGAATTTTATCCCGAATTAGATGACAATCTAATTTAATGTGTTTGGTTCTCTCATGAAAAAAGGGGTTGGAGGCAATGTGCAGAGCAGATTTGCTATCACAATGAAGGGTAGCTGGTTGAGGATGGAGAATTGTGAGATCGGCAAGCAAGAATTTCAACCAAACAAGCTCACATGATACATCAGCCATGAATCTATATTCTGCTTCAGCAGAGCTTCGAGAAACGATGGTTTGCTTCTTGCATTTCCATGAGATAAGTGACTTTCCAAGGAAGATACAATAGCCAGTAGCTGACCTTTTTGTGTCAGGGCATGAGCCCAATCCGAGTCACAGTATGATGTAAGTTGATAAGTAGAAGATGAGGGTAAAATAATCCTTGGCCAGTTGATTTTTTAATATAATGTAGAATTTTGTAAGCTGGCTGAAGGTGTGGAACACGACGTGTACTCATGTATTGGCTGAGCAGATTAACTGAGAATGATAGATCAAGTCGTGTGATGGTCAATTAGAGAAGTCTTCCAATGAGTCTTCTGAATTCAGAGAGATCATGTAGCAGCTTGCCTTCATCTTTGCTTAACTTGAGATTTAGATCCATAGGGATTAAACTTGGCTTACAACCAAGTAAACCAGCATCATGCAAAATGTCCGGGGCATATTTTTTTTGGCATAGTTGAATGCCACTTGAGTTTCGGGCTATTTCCAAGCCACTGAAGTACTTATGAGTCCTAAGGTATTTTATTTTGAATTGTGAATCCATAAATGCTTTGAGAGCAAAAATTCCATGATGATCATTTGATGCCACAATTATATTATCGACATAAACAACTAATGCTATAAAAGATTGGTCAGCTCCTTTTGTAAAAAGACTATAATCAGCTCGGGACTGAGTAAAACCAAAATGGAGCAATGAAGAGGAGAATTTAGCATACCATTGTCGAGAGGCAAGTTTAAGGCCATACAAGCTCTTTTTTAACTTGCAAACTTTGTTGTGTCCTTGAACTAAATATCCAGGAGGTATTTTCATATACACTTATTATTCCAATTCGCTATGTAGAAAGGCGTTATTAACATCAAATTGCTATAGAAACCAGCCTTTGATGGCAAAAACGGCCAACAAAGTCTTGACTGTCACAAGTTTGGCAATGGGAGATAAGGTTTCATGGTAATCAAACCCTTCTTCTTGGGTGTTGCCCTTTGGCAACTAAACGTGTCTTGTGTCTCTCAATTGTCCCATTTAAGTTGTATTTGATTTTGTAGACCCATTTTGAACCAATAGCTTTCTTTCCAATAGGCAGATCAATGATATCCCATGTTTTATTCAATTCTAAAGCAGGAATCTCATTGTCCATGGCTTTGCGCCAGTCTAATCTTTTTACAGCTTGTGCATAGGTGCTTGGTTAAGTATGATTAAGAATTGAAGTAGCAAAAGCAGCATGGGTTGGTGATAATTTGGCACGAGATAAAATAGAAGATAATGGATAGAGAGGAGTAGGAAGTGCAGTACTTGTTACCTTGGAGCTAGATGGAGAAGCAGTAGGCACAATGACCTGTTGATGATAGTAATCTTGAAGGTATGGTAGAGATTTCTTTGGTTTGTTTGATCTGCGAGGACGTATTTGAGTTTGTGAAGAAGTGCTTTCAGAAAGGGATGCGTTGGAAGAATGAAAAATGTTAGAAGGAGGGGTGTTAGGAGTATTTTCAGAAAGAGGTGCTGAAGTGGGAGAATGGAGGGGTAAAGAAATATTTTCTGAAGTGATGTCAGTTTGAAGTGAAGGGGTAGTGTGAACTGGGATGAGAGGTGGGAATGAAGTTGGTGAGAGTGATTGTGAAGTAGAGGGGACATTGATACTTTTAATGGGAAAATTTTGTTCATAGAAGATGACATCTCGTGAGTGAAAGATAGATTTAGTTTCCAAGTCAAGTAACTTGCAGCCTTTGATGCCAAAGGGGTAGCCAAGTAGTATGCACCTTTTTACTTGGGAATCAAACTTGTGCCTATTTTGTTTAATGTAGAGGCATAACATAGGCAACCGAATGTTCTCAAAGGAGTGTAAGTTGGTTTGGCTTGAAAAAGAAGCTCGTAGGGTGTTTGATTTTGTAAATTGGGAGAGGGTATTCTGTTAATGACGTATGTGGCAGTTAAAATACAATCACTCCAAAATGAGAAGGGAATGTTAGATTGAAATTTTAAGGCACGAACAACATTTAAAATGTGTTGGTGCTTTCATTCGACAACTCCATTTTGTTGGGAGGTCTCAACGCAACTCTTTTGATGTATGATACCCTTTTGTATGAAGAAATTTGTCATTGCAAATTCATTGCCATTATCAGATCGAATGATTTTAATCTTTGTTTGGAATTGTGTTTCAACAAGGGAACAAAAGGATTGGATAAATGGTCTGATTTGGGATTTATTGTTCATTAGATAAACCCATGTGGATCTTGAGAAGTCGTCAACAATTGTTAAAAAGTATTTGGATCCATCATGTGCCATTTGGGAACAAGGTCCCCATACGTCACAATGAATGAGATCAAATGGTTTTAATGCTCAAGTGTCACTAATAGGAAAAGGTAATCTATGATGTTTAGACAAATAGCAAGTGGAACAAGGAACATTGTGATTCATTAATTTCAAATGCGGTAAATGTTTTTGCAATAAAGATAAATGTGAGTCAGATAGGTGACCCATTCTACAATACCATAAAATGTGATAATTTAAAGGAGTAACAGAAGTAAAAATGGTAGGATGATTATAAGGTAATTGAGACAAAATAGAAGAGAGGGCTTTGGGGTGACACTTCTGCAGTTGATAAAGACCATTGTTAGCCTCACCTTTCCCAATCGTGCTCCAAAAGAAAAGGCCCTGCACATAACACTCATTATTAAAAAAAATGAAGCAACAGTTAAGGTCTTAGATTAATTTTTGGGCTGAAAGAAGATTAAAATTAAAAGATGGGATGCATAATACATATTTGAGAGTAAGATTCTTATTAAGTTGAACAGTGCCTTTGTGAGTAACATTGGCATGAGTGTCATTTGGAAATTTAACTTTAAAATGGACTTTGTGGGGTAAAGAAGTGTAAATTGATGTGTAGTAGATCATGTGATCTGTTGCTCTTGTGTCTATGATCCAAGGGATGTTGTGTGAAGATGTTGTATGAGAGACTAAGAAACAAGATGATATACCAAACATGGTGGAAGCCGAGGGATAATTAGAGCTAACTTGAGATGTATCAATGGACTGAACTTGATTGGCAGCTGGCTGTGTAACTTGAGACTGGAGCAAAACAATAAGCTGTTGATATTGCTCTTTCGTTAGAGTTACTTGGGATTCTTCAGTGATCTGTTCTTGGTTGGAAAGACTGACTTGGTTGGCAGAAGGCTCGAATCCTTTGCTTCGATTGGCAAGTTTATGGCCTGGTGGATAGCCATGTAATTTGTAACATCTATCAGCATTATGGCCAGGAAGATTGCAGTGAGTGTAGGTTGGCTTTTCAAGGTGTGGATTGGCCTTGAAACATTTGTCTAAAGAATGGCCAGAAACTTTGCAAAAAGTGCAGAAAAGTCTTGCCCTCCTTTGAGAACCAAAATTTTTGGTGTTGTCTAGGGTGTTTGGAAAGTGACTTTTGGTAGCCAAAGCCAGAGTTTCATGAAGATTGGGAATATTGGAGATCTGTTTACGCTTTTCTTCCTGTTGAACAAGGGAATAAACTTCACTTAAGGTGGGGGTGGGTTTGATGAGAATAATTTAGGCTTTCATGTTGGTGAAGGAATCATTGAGTCCCATAAGGAATTTCATCATCCAATCACGCTACTGGTTCGCAAGCACAGGTTTCATAGCACCACAAGTGCAAGATGGGATGAACTCAAAGTTGAGAAGCTCATCAAACAAACCTTTCAATTTAGAGAAATAGAGGCTGACAGAGTCATCACCTTGGACAAGGGAATGGATGGACTGCTTCAATTCATAAATTCATGGTCCATTATTTTGTGCAAAACGCTGTTCCAACTCAAGCCGTAAGGCATGAGCTGTCTCAACATACAATACTATTTTTTTTACTTCAAGGGACATAGCATTTTGGAGCCAAGTCACAACCATATCATTGCATTCAAGCCATGGTTCTAACATGGCTTCGTTTGGGACAGTAGGTTCACAGAGAAGGCCATCAATGAAACCGAGTTTCTTCTTAATTCTAAGTGAACGACGTACTGTGCAAGCCCAAGAATGGTAATTATCAGCTGTGAGTAGATGATTTGTAAGAAGAGTTCCAGGACCATCATTTGGGTTGAGAAAATATGGACTGGAGGGGTCTTTAGGGTTGTTATTAATGAAGGGATTGTTATTGATAGAAAAATTTGGGTTGACCGATGAATCGGTGTTTTCTGTAGCCAATTATTGCTCTGATACCAAAACAGTTTTAATAACTGAGAGTTGAGAAAATAAATGAAGAGAAGAAGACTGCAGAGGAATTGCTCTTCGTATTGATGTATTTGCTTAGCCTTTTACAATGCACATGACTCCCAATTTATAGTATTTACATGCATGAATAAACGGATCTGATTCTCTAACAAATTGCATAGAAAATCCCTAACATAATGACAGCTCATGTATTCTAGAATCATCCTTGTTTTTGCTGGTACTTTGCTGAGATGTGGGAAATCGTGACTGAGGTGGAATGTTGTGATGGCAGCTACTGTGTTGGTTCTAACAGACTTCGTAGGAAAAAGGCTATAGACAGAGCTTTTTTAGGATGGGCAAGAGGAAGGAGAGAGGTTCGACTATCATCCTCTGCTAGAAGCAGTAATTTGCTCAACATGAGTAATGTTTTCCTCTATATCAGAGTAAAAATAAAATTCATAAATCTAACTTGCGGTGTTGTAATGTCAATATATGTTAGAAAGATGACTATGTTATCAAGTTAAAAGGGTAATACGAAACAAAATCACTGTTAACAATCATGAGAAAAGTAAGCATATGAGATATTTCCTCTGAATCTGCTGCTAATTCAAACGGATTTGATTTTATATCCTTATCTAGAAAGTTCAACGAAGGAGACAGACTTGGAGAGCCTCTTAATAATTTGTGCCATGAATTGATATATTTTTGTATTTTTTTGGTGATATTTCTTGTTTACTTATCTTTGTTCCCACCATTTGAATTGCTATTCGCGTGAATCTGAACAAGCAATTAGATGTTTATGAGTCAAAGGTGGTTTCTCAATTATCCATGTTTCTTTTTGAATAATTGTTGTGGACTTGGATTTGTTGATTTGATGCAGGGTGGAAACTTAAATAATAATAAAAGTAGCTTATTTGTAACACATGGACAGGTGTTTGCTTGAATTTTGTTCGAACCAATGTGATAACTATTTGGAATCCACCAATAAACGGGAAAACTAAAATATTTTATTAATCAAGAATCGAATGAATTATTTTTACAACATTAATGAGTATTTATAGGCTCAAAATAATTCATAATCAAAGTGAAATTCTAATTCCATAAACAAATCAATAAACTAAAAAACTATTAAACAAACCTGAATACAGAATAAAATTAAAATATTGTAAAAATGACGAAAATATTCTTAAATTGACTCAAAATAGAAAAAATATTAAAATAGAGCTCGAAACAACGGAATTTGAAACCAAAAGTTGGACAACATCATAACAAAAAAAAATATGTGCAGAATATAAAAACACTTCCAAATTGTACTCACAGAAGAAAATTCGACATTCAAGCTAAAAGTTATGCATATTTTCATAGATCCTCTTGATTTTCTCTTTCGAATTATTTATAATTTTCTCTTCTAATTGTCCCACATTATGATTTGATGTGTCTCTAGTTCTTGGACTTTTATAATCTCCCAGAAATCTCTGTTTCCCTTTTCGTCATCCAACTAAACACAAATATATCTTCCATGACCATCAAATCTAGAATGGCCATTTAATATTTTGGGTTATTGTTTTATTAAATTAATTGAAATCATACACTTAATTATGGGAATTGTTAGATTGTTGTGCAAATGGTCCCTACCCTTTAAATCTTGGTACAACCATCCTTGGCCTTCCACTTAATGTGGTAGAATTGGTCATTTTGGATGGTTCCATTCAGTTGACTCTTAAAAAGGTCAAAGTTTCCATAAAAAGACTAAAATGCCCTTATTTTTAGTTAATAAATAAATAAATATGAAAGAAAAAATATTTTCCCTTATTTCAAAAATACATTTCTAATGCAAACTAATGAGGACTCTATCACAATAACTGTTAAAATCGATATGGAATGAAGTAATTCTCATTATTGAATATACATTACATTGGTGTGTATAACATGCATAATGTGTTATGTAAGGAAATACAAAATATGCTATTAAGGAAATAATCTTCCATAATAAAATCAAATCCTAATAATCACGGTTAATAATAACGCATTAGACAAAAAACTAGATATAAAGTTTTTCAATCCACATGACATGAAATTTTTATTGAGCAAGCACTCAAGTTCAAAATTGATTTCCAAATACATTCTATGAATTTCTATCTACATATCATATATTTTCTTTAAATAACAACAAAATCACATTTAAATTTGCATACGAAATAGAAATTTCGCTGAGTTAGTATATATAATTGAACTTTTGAATTTAGTTGGAGCTCTAAGAGATATCTATTTTTCTATGTCACATCATTGAGTCCCTTTTGACTTGCATTGAAGAGAATTTTTAAACTACATTCTATTTTGCTTGTATGGCATAAGTTTTTTTTTTTATGTAATCCATGATTGTATTAGAGATGCTCTTATGTGAGATTGGTTGGTAGAATAAGTTGCTTTTTCTTTTGTTTCTTATATTTTTTAATTTTCAGTTTTACGTGTTTTATTTTATTTATTTAACTAAAACAGGCATTTTAGCCAAAGTTTGACATTTTAATGGTCAATTGAATGGAAATTGTCGGAAAAGACCAACTGTGTCTATTATGTGAGAGGTCAGACATCTTATGTCTGTGCCAAGATTTGAAGGTTGGGGACCGTTTGCATAGCAAGCCTACGTTAGCGACCATATGCGTTTCTCCTCAACTGTAGCAGTGCAATAATTTAACAAGATTGCAAGACAACTTTCAATCATTAATTGATTGTTGTGAGTGATGCAGGTTTAACTACAGGCCTTGGTGTAGCACTCTTAGCAGCACTAATTGGATTTTTATTCTACATGCGGCACCAGCGCATCAACAAAGAGCAAGAACGACTTACTCGAGAACGTGAAGAAATCCTTAATGCTGGTGGTGGCAAATCAGCAAAACTTTTCACTGGCAAAGAAATTAAGAAGGCAACAAATCAATTCTCTCAAGATCATCTTCTTGGCGTCGGTGGTTTTGGTGAAGTCTACAAAGGAATTCTTGAAGATGGAACAGTCGTGGCAGTCAAATGCGCAAAACTGGGTAACACCAAAGGTACTGAACAAGTTCTAAACGAGGTCCGAATACTTTGTCAAGTTAACCACAAGAACCTTGTCGGCCTCCTTGGCTGCTGCGTTGAGCTTGAACAACCATTACTAGTTTATGAGTACGTTCAGAATGGAGCTCTGTTCAATCATTTAAGAGGTGAAAAGCAGGGATTTCTCTCTTGGCTTCGCCGACTCAGCATTGCCCATGAAACTGCTGAGGGTCTATCTTATCTTCACTTCGATGCAGTTCCCCGAATCTATCACCTGGACGTGAAATCTAGCAACATCTTGCTCGACTCTAATCTGAATGCAAAGGTTTCGGATTTCGGATTATCTCGATTGGTCCACACAGACTTGAGTCACATATCGACCTGCGCTCAGGGTACAATTGGATACCTTGATCCCGAGTACTTTAGAAATTTCCAGTTGACAAATAAGAGCGACGTCTATAGCTTCGGGGTAGTTTTATTGGAGCTATTGACATCTCAAAAAGTTGTTGATGTCAATAGAGAGGAGGATGACGTGAGCTTGGTTGCTTATGTGCAGAGATTGGTGAAGGAGGAGAGGATAATGGACGTGGTTGATCCAATGTTGACTAGGGAAGGAGTTAGCAACATGGGGTTTCAGAGCATGAAGGCTTTGGGGTTTCTGGCTATACGATGCTTGAACGAACACAGACAAAACAGGCCTTCTATGAAGGAGGTTGCTGAGGAGATTGAATACATTATTAGTATTGCAACAGCTGATGTCGCTGAGTAGTTATCTATCATGGATCTCAAACTATAGACTATAGTTAATCTTGCTAGACTAGCTACAATAAGATTACTTAAATTAAGTTACTGGACACTACATGTTTGATCCAATTGACTAAGAGCTTCATACTCGATCATGCTTTATTTCAATCAAGAATAAGATAGAACTTTTTTTAGGATACTCGAAGTTGTAGAATTGTGGTAGTTTAGTTTAAGATTGTAAATTTTGATGAAATTACAATTAAAATTCAACAACAGAATAAATAAATCATTCACAATTATATTTCTTTTAATATCGTAAATCAAAATTTTAATTATAGCATATGTAGATATTCAATTATTACTTTTGATAGAGATCGAATCAACAGTTTTCTTCACCGTAACTTTTCTTTGACGATTGTACTTAAAAGTAATATGTTAGTTTGAGGGTGATGAATTCACCCATTCCTCTATTCAAGATAGTCCCAAGGGCTTTGGTATCTAGAAGAATGTGTTATTTGACTGTATCAAAAATATGTTACCCTGATAACATACATTCCCCAAGTCTATTAGACTAAAGCATGCACCAGTAGGGACTTAATTCAGTTTATTGGACTAACGAAACATAATGAGCAAGGTGGACTTTTGGACCTCTCATCTAGTGGGTTAATGAGTCGAGCCTTGGCCCATCGCATGGGCTACACATGCAGCTCATTTTAAAATTTTGTGGCTTGACTTGACTTGCCCGACCAAGTTATTTTTTACTTTTACTAGTGGGGATCGTGCGTTGCACGATAACCGTTATAATTTTTGTAATTCCAGAATTGAACAATGGTAAAAATAACATGATATTGTTTCAAGTACTGAAAATTCCTATATTATTTAAAATGTTTTCTTTTGCTTCCTTAGAAAATGCTATGTCAATATCATGATTGGTCTCCTCCAGCAATAGTATGAAAGAAATATGACATAATTACAGTAAAAGAAAGTCCCATATTTAGATTGCAATACAGCAGAACACCTCCCTAAAATGAGGACAATACAGCATAATCTTGGGGAAACGATACAGCAGAACACCTCCCTAAAATGCAGTCATTACTTGAGTAACCATTCCAGATTAAATCCTATAAATCTGAAGTTGCAAAATACATCACAAAAAAATGTGATCATGTACACTTATCAAAATACCAAAGCAACAGATGATTGAGAGAATAAATCTCTCACACCTCCTCATAAATTTCCAGTGTAGGTTAGTCATCAATCCAAATCTCCTTAAAAGTATGGTCAAAGAATGAAATTGGAGTCACGGGATTCATCTTCCATTTGAGAGTAGAAAGCACCAAAAGCTCCATTCTCTGAATAGTCTTTGCCTCAAACAAATATTTGGATTCTTCCACCTTAAAAATAAATTAAGTATAAGATAATTTAAGAATTACACAATTGACAAAAACTATTCAAAGGTGAGAGGATAGAGTTTCGTGTGCCCTTAAAAGGGATTCTCCAACATAATGCAAATAAAATTGCAGTGTTGAAACATGTAGAGGAGATTTTCTTGCTAGATTCTTGTAAAGTAATTTGAAATAGCTTATGCTACCACTTTTACAATAGATGTTTCAACATGCAAAAAAAAGAAGAACAATTAAAAGGTAATTTGAGAAGCAATTCATGCTGAAATGCATAACATGATATCTGATAGATTGTTAAGAAACGCAGTGTCAAAAAAATTGTTAGATGGCATAATTTGAGAAGCAATTGATGCCAAAATGCAGAACACACAATCTGCAATAGTTTATAAAGAAATTAGAAATGAGTTTCGTAAGGAAAAAGGAATAGGAAATCCAAGGATAATGCCACAAATAAATGACTGACATACATGATATAGTTGTGGCCCCTTGTCGTCAAACCCCGCAACCAAGAGAGAGACTCCAAATGACCTTACACCACTAAAAGAAAGTAGCCATTGAATTGAATCAGAAACCCAATGCAAGTATGCCTGACATAATAATAGGAAAAAAAATATCGAACAAGTCCTTTCAAAATTTTATGAAAGGTTAAATAAGGAACATATTAAGAGCCCTCCAGTTTTGCTCTCCATGATAGTTCAGTCCTGAGATCAGATTGTCCATCCATATAGTCACTACTCAACACTCTCTTCCAAGAATCTTTTTTCTAAAGCAAGTAGCCACTATACCTCTATCAAATAGAGTGTGAATAAAATTATATAAAGATAATTTACTTCGACCAATGTGTTATCATGTGTTAACAGAATGTACTAAAGCAAGTAGCCACTATACCTCTATCAAATAGAGTGTGAATAAAATTATCTAAAGATAATTTTCTTCGACCAATGCGTTATCATGTGTTAACAGAATGTGACATAATGCCAGGGGTTATTGGAAATATCACGGAGAAGAAAGATTAGCGAAGCATAGCTAATAAGTCTTAATAAGGCAAACCAAATCTCCAATTTGCAAAATACTCTATTTGCTGCCTTAGCCAATCTCCGACAAGCTGAATACAATTCACACGTTAAAAATCTAGATATCAAATCTACAAAAAAACCAGTATGGGACTAAATGGGTTGTTGGGCAAATGAAATCATGGCCCAGAGAGTAATGCTACCCACAATGATATCCCTGGTATTAGAGAAAAGGAAGTTTCAGAAACAAACACTACTTGCTTCACTAAAATGAAAGTGAAAAATTTATTAAGCATGCCATTAATTATTAATTCCAATAAATCTGAAAATAGACGTACAACCATAGATTTACACGAATATATGAACAATTACCAAAAATAAGGAGCATGAAGAAGAGGAAATGTAGGATACCCAAATCTGGTTTGGAATCAGGCTCGGGAGGTTCTTGGTTAAGCAACTGATGGCGAATTTGGACCAAAAACAATTATAAAAGAAATACAATTATATAAGTTATAAAGTGAACAATTACAAGAAAGAATGAGAAAGTTGTCGGTACAGCATCATAAAACTATAACATGAGTTAGAAACTTACATCCCCTGCCTCCTCTTTAACCTCCTGAACTTTGTTTTGATTTTCCTCGTCAGCCATGGTTGTACTTAAATCTGTAACATAAATGGAAAATGCAAATCAAAATCAAAATCCCGCAATAAGACATTATCACAAAAATTTAACGCTACTACACAAGATTGCTGCTTGACATCAAAAACACATTGATGCAATCACAAATAAACGGCTGCAACCATGTAAAAGAAGACTCCCTGGCAGTCAATAACCACGAATGTGCTTGATAAAAAAAAATGGAAGAACACAAATTCTTAGCAAAAGTGGGTGCACACAACATACCAATCAGTCATAAGAAAAATGATATACAAGTCAAATAAATCTGTGAGCTTCCCAAGTTCTGGTGGAACATTCCCAACAATCAATTTATCATTCAGTTCCCTGATAAGTAAAAAAACACTTTAGTACGATGATGCGTCATAATTTGTGACCCCAATAAAAACAGAGCCAAAGACCTGAAAATAAGTAAACTATTTTGCAATCTAATCAACATAAACAAAAATAAAGGAATTATGAGAATAAAACTCACAAAATCCACTCCAATGGTGCTAATATAGCTGTCAACATATGATTCATCCTGAAAGCATCAAAGAATAGCATCATGTCCACTATACAATTTACCAAAAAGAAAATTTAATAAAAATCCAAAACGAAATATACTAATCCAACCGTATATCCAAAAGCAAGTCACTAAAGAATATTGAAAAGAAACCCATTATAAAGCACAAGCAGATGCAGAAATCATACCTATAGTTATCGAAGAAATCGAAGGCTCACCTTCCACCATCGCCTAACAACTAAAAGTAAATAATTACAATTGCTAAGTTGCCACTTGTTTATCTATCTCCTTAAAAAGATATCTAATAGTTTTCCCATATTAGATTCTAAAAGCTAGTTCACTGAAAATGTCACCATTACTATTAGGTCACTGTACAAAAAAGTAATGATGTGATTCATAAGATTAGCATTTTTGTTACTTAAAAATGATCTTGCAGGACTCCTTCTCTAAGCTGTGCATTCTCGGAAAATTAAAAACAACAATAAGGTAATTCACAAAAAAGATACAGAAAAACATCGATGGATGAATATGGTGGAAAAAAATATTTACATGAATCCCAATTACTATTAATACTGCCTTAATCTGCCCTTACGGCTACCCAAGAGATGGTTCCAGTTCCTCGACTCTTATTTTAGACTCCGTTTCATTTTTATTTTATTTTTATTTTTTTGGGAGCGGGATATAAAGTTAAGAGGAACAAACATTAATTTTATATTTCCAAGAAACAATTACCAAGTTCCAATGTTACAAGTAAAAACATATTCAAAAATGAAAGTGATTTATTTCTCAAGAGTTATAAATGCCTCATGAGAAATTCAAAATTGATATATTTCAAACCAACTAACATATCATTTCTATCTTAACAAGTGTATTGCCACAGAGTTTTTTATTCATTTCTACAATTCAAGAACTTGAATGAATAATGTCGAATATTCTTTTCTTTAATACAAACTTCAAATGAAAAGTTAAAAATAGAAGATAAGAAATAGACAGTGGTGTCAAATTGAAGAATAAAAACTACTTGAATTATATATTTTTGCAACAAATTTTGAATGGGAAGCAAATCATTTTATTAGACATTAAAATTCAAGATATATCATTATAAAAAATTAGCTTACCACTTGAGCTCTTTTCAATTTATCATCATTGCCATGTTCTTCATTTCCTGAGATTTTCCTGTATGAGAAAAATACAAGTAATTTAATCTCAATTTTCAAATATCATAACAGATAAGAAAGCAAGAATCTTATAGCTTCACAAACCTTCTTTTGGCTGTAGATGTATCCTCAGCAAAAGCATCTGAAGCACCTAAATCAAGAACCCTGCAAACGGTGTCCTTTAGAAAATTAAAAACCTAAAGCTTTGCACATATTACTTCCTGAGAAAAGTAAGGATAGAGTCAAATAATTGTGAGTTGACATATGTACAATATATCTCCAAACTACATCAAAAGGCAGGAACTTACAGATGCAAAGAATTCACAGTTTTTGCTCCCTTTCTTAGGATAATCTTATAAGTCTGGTCCAAAATCCCTACTGTCTGAAATCTCCAATTTCCTCTTAAAAAAAAGAACACCTATATAAAAGTGAGGACAAATCGGATCAGAAATGAACTTACCAATCAAAATTTACAACTTCATAACAAGATTCAAGCAGTAGAACAGAGATAACTTGTGGCTAAAACATGTGAAAAAAATCAACTAAACGCAACACTATTTCTCATCACCTCAATCAATCAACTAAACGCAGCAATAATTTTCTTACTATAATCAATTTGAACATATATGTGATTATACCAATTTACACCAACATTCACATATATATCGAAATCCAGTTCATAAAATACATCAAAACCCAATCCTATTTCAAGAAAATCGACCCGACAATATGGAAAAAGTCGAGAAATGAACCGAATGGGGAGTTAACGGAAGAAGAAAACATATGTATGATTTAAAAAAATTAGCCCAATTATAAAATCAAGTTGGCCGAGTTTTTTGTAGCAAAATACAGCTGACAGAGACTGACCTGTTCTTCCATCTCCGAAATTTTGAAATTGGAGATTTGGATTTTTGGGAGTGGTTGAAATGCAAACTGATTTGGTGGGGAGTCGGTGGCAAATAATAGTAAAAACCGATTTGGTGGGGAGTCGATCAAAGGACACATTTACTGAAAATCAATTTTTGGGAGTGGAAGGCAGAGAAACATTGGTTAATCAAGACCCGGCGTGAACTTAAGGGGAAAGAAAACAATAAAACTAACTGACATTAATGTCGTCATGCAGTTCTATCCACTGTACCAGTTCTCGGGTGAGCTTCCAGAATAACCAGATTTCCCTTTTGTTTTTTCAGGCCTAAAGATAGCAGAAGAACATCTTAGAAACCAATCAGGGTAACTGATGCACAAGCTTATTTATAGATTAGAAACAATTAATTCGTACGCAATTGGCACTTTAGACTGATAATCTATTTGAATCAGAAAGTTAAAAACATACCAAATAGGATGTGTTGTACAAAAAGTTGAAGGAAAATGGATGTTATGAACAACTTAGAATATCGACATTAACTTTTAATGATTTGATGGCTCCTTCTGCACAGCAAAGCAATTCCTCAAAATTCACCTTCTGCAATGGATACTTCATTTGTTTGGTATTCATCCTAGCATTTTAACAATTTAACAAAATTGTCATCAATCTAATCTAATTATAATAAGACATCATGCAATTAAAGAGAAATTAGCTGTAAAGCAAATAGAAAAAAATAAAAAAGAGAAAATTAATAAGACAATATACTTTA